CAGTAAGGGGTACACGTTGCTGTTTATACTTGTATCCTGTGCTGTTATTCAGCATTCCCTTTCATCAGATTCTGGGTTAGAGTGAAAGTGCAGGTTTTCCTACTTTGTGGCAAAGAATGCTCTGTCAAGAGCACATTCATGGGCTGTGCTGCCCCACACTCACACTCAGAATCCTCTCATTCTTCATGTATTCACCGTTTACTTCACAAGGGTATTCACCAACTTGCATTTTCATGAGTGTGTTTTAATTGCATGTTAAGTGAGCCCAGAAAACAACAAAATTGTTTTTTTCATTAGAGCCAAATAGTCCTTTGCCTGCCTCAAAATATGTGGAAACTCAGAATGCCATAGGAGAGGATGGAAGGGAGTGGGGTAGGTCGAGTAGGTGCTGCTCCGTGCACACTAAACAGCTGGCAGGAACATGTGCACCTGTCTTTTCTGTTGTTTGTGTTTTATTTTTGGGTTTACAAATAACTGCTTTGTTTTATTTACTATTCTCTTTTTTTCTTCCAGGCCTTATTTTTCGTTATTTTTACTAAATTTGTGAGATTGTGTTGTACTTAAACGTCTATGCTCCGTGAGTCTTTCCCACAGTATTGGTGCAATATCTTGTCCTCTATTAACTGACCTAGTGAGGGATTGTAAATTAACCAATACATGCTGATTTATTTTTACTGAGATGAGATTTTTAAAGACAAACTCACCTTTCCTGATCCTTTAAGTTGAATTTCAGAATATTTCAATGAATTCTTTGTTGGCTTACTCTCGTTTTTTAAAGCAGAGATCATCTGTAAGTCCTAGACAACCTTTGCAATCAGTGGTTTAGTTTTAGGTTTACCAGTGAACTTCTTATAACTTTTCTACTTCTCAGTTTTCATGAGCAATCCAACTGTGGGATGGAAGTCAGTTTTCATTTACTCCTGGGTTCTATTTGTGATCACCCAAGTAAACTAATTTTCGTGTTTGTAAGCAATACCAATAGCAACTTGGTGATTGGTAGAGAATCAGATGCCCACCTGGCTGGTGGTTGTGGTCAGTTCTCAACGTGTGTACTGTGCTTGTTTTCCATGGCATGTGCTGATCTGACTAGGCCTGGGCTTCAGTGGCCACTCTGCTCAGGTGCTGACAGCCACCGAGCTGCTGTGTCGCCAGGGTGGATGTAGTCTGAGTCTGTTGACCCAGAAGGGCTGTGGGTAGTGGTGGCTTTACAAGGACAGGTTGGGTTTCTTTATTACTTTTTAGATTTTAATCCTTTTCCCACCATTTTATTTTGAAACTCCTCAAGTTACCATGATATTTGGCTGTCCAGTAAATATACACATATCCACATGCTCATTACATAGATTTGCCAGCAGTTAGCATATTGGCACATTTCTGTGCCTTTCTTATATATAAAATGATTGTTTTGCACATTCTCTGAAAATTGTAGATACCATAAGCATAACTCTTAAAATGCATCCTATTTTAACCTGTAACTACATGCTTACTCTTTCTAGTGTATCCCACAGTACTATTATCACATCTAATATTCAACAATTCTATAAGGTCCTGCATGTTATGATCCAAAAATGGTGAATGTTTCCTTTTTTTCTTTTTTTTAACTTTATTACAGGAAAAGACCTGGCCACAAATTCCCCTCAAAATATTCCCCCTTGCCTACAATACACATATCCCATCATTCTTAATACTTTCTGCAGCAGTTCTGGAAGTTCTCTTTCATGAATATCTTCACAAGGTATGATTGCAGTGAATGCTGCTGCCGAGTACCCTCCAAGAGAAAGGCAGACTCTTAAAAACATGATAGTGTGTCCTTGTCCACCATCTTCACCAGATCTGGTACCATGTGACTTCAGTCAAAATGACTATGTGACAGAAACATTTTGAATCAGTTCAGGACATTGAGGCGACCATGACAACATAACTAAAGATACTCACAAAAGAGACTTTCAGAACTGCTGCAGAAAGTAGCAATAATAAGATAAATGTGTTAGATGCAAAGGGGGCCGTTTTTTTAGGGGCGTGAATGGCAATGTGTCTCTTGCTGTAATAAATTTTTTAAAAATGGTTAAGTATTCTCCAGGTTTTTAAATCACATGTTATCATTCCTGCAGTTTACCCCAACATTTCTATATTGACTGTGTAGTTGTTTTGTACAATTTAGGCCATATGTATAACTGTTCTGATCTGGCTTTCTGATTGTTTCCTCATGACCAGATTCAGAAAGCATAAAGGACACAACTCAGGCAACATTGTGTGCTTATTACTGCCTCTCCCTAGAGGTGACTCTCAGCCTGTCCCTGTCATGATCATGTATATGACCTGTACCTTGGTTAATAAAGTGGTGACCTCTAGATCACTGGTAAAAGTAGCTTTTTGCCTTTGTAACTTAGGGTAGCATTTTGAGTCCATGTGAATTTCCTGTTTCTTGATAATCTTTCCACTACTGGCTTTAGCTTCTGACAAGAAACCTTCTCTGAGATTGATGACTAACTTGGAAGTGATCATTTTCTACTTCTATCATCCCTTGTAGTTTTATCACTAGTTTGTTTTATAAAGAAGCTTTAATTTTCTCCCTGTCCTGCATACACTGCGTGTGTGTGTGTGTGTGTGTGTGTGTGTGTGTGTGCGTGCGCGCGCGTTCATGCATGCGTTCAGACTTAGGTGCACCTTTGCTTGTTGAGCGTGTTACAAGCATGGTCACACATTCCTGTAATCCCAGCACTCTAGGGCAGTGGTGAAAGACGAAGGGATGTGGTGCTGAGAATGTAGCTCACTGTGAAGGCCCTGATTTCAGTCCTCAGTACTGCCAATAAGTACATACTGTAGTCATGAGTTTATATTAATTTGCATAAATAACACTTAGCATTCTAGGGTTTTTCCTTTTTTTCCTTTATATTTGTACTTTCTGTTCTACAATAAAATTTTGGTCTCATATTAATACAGTAACATATTTTTGCTCCAGTAACACATTAAAATATGTCAGAATTATATCCACAGTACAACTCACAATAAGCCTACCAAGTGAAGTCAAAGGTGCTTTTGTGTTTTTTTGTTAGAAGTGAGATTTGCTTCTGTTTATGAATGTTCTGCCAATTTTATTCTTTGACATGTAAAGTGTTTACCTGCCTCTTGGTCTGATGGTGTGCACAGGTGTGCCCAGCGGAGTCTGGCCCTGCATCACCCTTGACACTGCCAGGAGACATGGCTTTTATTAGCTCCTCCTTAACTTCTCTTGTTGACATTTCATCAAGGGGGCTGACACGTGTATCTCTGGACCTGGACCTGGCCATTCCCTTGTACCCTTGTACCTTGATCCCTCTCCAGCATTTGGCTGCATGGGGTGCTGTCCTCTACTCCACCAACATCACTTGTGTGGGGACTGGCAGTTCCCGAGTGAGCGTGGTTCTCACGGTCCCATGAGTAGCCTAAGCACAGGTCGTTTGTGTGGAGGGTGAATTTGTAGACATGGCATCACCACACACATAATTCTGCTACACAGTGTGAGGTTCCACTGCAGAGGTGGTGGTCTTCGGCTCTCCTATCAGCTGTGTGTCACCATGTTTCTTTCTAGCCTCGGCAGCAGTATGACAGACTTCTGAACTTTTGATACTCATGTCAGATGAAAGTGTCATCTCAGTGGTTTTAATTGCACTTTTTTACGAGTACATTTGAGCCGTATTTTTCTTTTGTTCATGTAGTTTAATTTGTCAGTCTTTTTAATTGCTTCTGAACTTTGAATCATAGTTAAGAAATACTTCTCCATATTAAGGTTGTAGAGGAATTCTCTCCTGTCGAGTGCTAGTATTTGCATTGTTGTATTTTGGGTGCTTACCTCTCTGATGGGTTTGGAATTTATTCTGCTGTATTTGTAAAGTTTAGATCCCCTTTTCTTATTTTTCTGAATGGCAGTTGTCTTGGTGTCACTTATGAAAAGTCTTTCCTCTTCCCCTAAGTGTCAGTCTGCATGAGAGCATGCAATGTGGCCTGGAAACACCTCTGGGCTCCCTGAGGTCACTGGATTCGTGCCCCCTGTCACAAGCAGAATGAAAGCAGCACATCCCCAGTAGTGCTAACAAGAGCCCATCCTGAGGGTGGGCTCTCCTGGCAGCGCTGTGTTCACACGTGCCACCAGCTCATGAGATGCACGGGTCAGTAGAAGGTTCTGGGCCATAGTCTTCTCATCTGACACATTTCCACCAGAAGAATGTACTTACTGCCATGAAGCATTGAGAGGAGGGTACCAAAAATGGCCCTTGGAGCCTGAGTAGTTGTTCCCAAGCTGGGGGCAGTGCCACTGCCTAGGCAGCGAAGGCCATTTGTAAGTGTTGTCACACCCTGGAATGGAGTGGAGACAGGTCAAGATTGCCCCCTGACCTTCAAGAGGGGCAAAGCTGTTGGGAATGGAGCTGTCACTCCCAGATAGCCTTAGCACCTCTGTTGAAGAAAGCTGTGCAAGAGAACTGATTTGGAAAGCTTTGGGAGGGGCAGGCTGAGGCTCAGTGGCTGCATGTGGCTGAGCAGGCAGCTTCCATCCTTGCACCCAAAAATCAAATCAAATCAAACCTTGGGGGAGAGTTGAAACAGCATTTAAAAACCTTAGGGTGTCTTGATAGGGAACACAGAGTATACCCTTGGCAGTGTTTTCTTTGCCATTTACACAACCAGCAGGGAGCTGCAGTGATTGTCTGGGAGCATTGTACTGCAAAAGTTGTGCAGAACACTTCTGGTTTTCCTTTGCAGAAGGCAGACATGTTGTGTGTGGGATCTCATTCAAGGGTTTAACACATTTCAAGTGTTGTTACTGACTCTTGAAAGTTGTCAGTAATCAGTTTGACGATTACAGTCTGGGGGCGGGTGTATAGACTTTAGTATCCCATCTGAGAACAGGAATTGGGGGTGAAACTCTGCTTCAGTACCTGTGTATACTAAGTGGTCAATTAGTTATAAGATGGACTTGTTTTTGTTACATTTGCCAATTAACCTTTGTGTGTTCTTTTCAGAGAGCTATTACTTACCTTTTTCCAAGTGGTTTGTTTGAAAAACGAGCCAGACCAATAATGAAGGTAGTTATGTTCATTTCTTTTTTTTAATTTCACTTAGTTTATGTGTTACAGTAATTATCTAATACACCGTAAATTTATTTTACAGCATCCTGAACACATTTTTCCCAAACAAAGAGGTAAGTGTGCCATAGAGTGAAGCCATTTCTCTCTGCTATGTTGCTGGTGATGTGACAGTTCTCACACTGGCGCCCACAGTCCGGGTCTCCTGGAGTAGATCAGAAACGTCTGTGACTAGTAATGAATGACTGCATGATGTTACCTTGGGTCCATTTACAGTTATGCCCATACTAATTTAACACTAAGGCTTTGCATTCTAATCTGCCTTTTGGAAGAATTTGAAAGATCTGCTGTCAACTCAGTTAACTTTTATTTATATGAAATCTTTTAATTTTTCATTATCTTGGAAGTACATTTTCACTGAATATGGATTTTTTTTTCTTTTTTGTCTTTTACTCAGTGATGTAATTCCATTTTCTTATCTTACGTTGTTGCTGATGAGTAGTTAGTTAAGCCATCCTTCTTGTCATGCCCCCTGTTTTTTCTGGATTCTTTAAGGATTTTTCTCTTTGTCTTTTAAATGTGTTTAAAAAAACCACAAAACATCTAAAAAAACACACACACAAGCCATAACATGTTCATGACAGAACCACAGGTCTCGCTGCTGAGTACCTCTGATTTAATATCATTAGTAAAAAGACCAACAAAATTGACTAGATCCATTTGTATCACCAGTGATAGGAGCCACCCAAGGGATAGTCATGGATGTATGGTTCAAGCCAGTGGGAACACAGTAAGGTTGCCAGGGAAGTGAATGCTGGATTTACTGTATATTAGAAGCCTTGTACCCAGTGTGGACTGGTGGTAGCTGTCAGTTAATTTTAAAAGTATTAGTGTTAAAAATTATCTCTCTAAAAAACTCAAAATGTAAACTTAGATTATCCATCATTTTCTGTGTGTCTTGTGCATGTGTGCCCTTGTGCCCACCTGCCTGCCTGTCCTGTTTCTTTGAACCTGCCACTGACCCATCGCCAACAACTTTCAGCTGTGATTTCCTACCAAGAAGCAAAGAGTTTAAAGAATCTTCTAAGGAGTCTGAGTTCAGAATATTTCTATACTTCCCATGAATTTTTCCGTTCAGCCACAGTGAAATTGAACACAATTTTTTTAGCAGCTTGCCATTGAGTTCTAAAGCTTTTGACTTAGTTTTCGTAGAGGCAGCAGTCTTTTCTGTCTGCACTTAAAGTGCATCTGTTTGTGTACAAACTCATTACAGTGATTATAGAAATCAGTACTACAGTAATAAATGGCCTTAGGGCAAATACAACTGACTTCCTAAGCATGTAACTCGGCCACAGAAGGGTGTGGCTGTAGCACAGCATAGCCTGCATGCTCCGTACACAGGTAATGTTGGTATGCTTTCGAGTTAGAGATGCTAAAAAGGTACATATTTCCATAGAAAATTTATTTCTTTTCTATCACATTAATGTTTCTGCCAAGTCCTAACTCTTTTCAGACCTCAGCATTCTGTTCTCCTGTTTCATTTCACTCTTTGAAATGATAACTTCTATTTCAGTTTTTTTATAACTGTATCCTACCTTTCCTACTTCCTTCTTAGACATGCTTGATTATAAAATGCATAATATAAATTTAATAATAGCTCCCAGGGAAGTGAAGGAAGGCCGTATTGAAAGTACGAATTGGTTGTAAAGGTGCAGCACAGCCTTGCATTGTGCCATAAGCACAATGCAGAGGCCAGTGACCTCTCTAAATGTCTCTCATGGCAGAGATCTTGTTTGTTTCCTGTTCTGGTTTTCAGCCTCTCAGACTCCCCACCTGTACCTCTCCTTCTCTTTGTTCCATCCATCTCTACTAGTTGTGTCTCTTCTAATTCATCTGCTTGTTCCTTGAAGTCTTGTTCCTGTTGCTCATCATTAGAAGTTCGTGGTTGCTAGAAGCTGAAATGGAACAACAGAAACTTCTATATATCCCTGCACAGTGTCCATGTGTTGTTTTGAAAATATGGTTTATCTTAAGTTGATTGAAGTTAACTATAAATAATACCCTTAGAATTCGCAAGATGTATTTTGCTACCTGCCTTCCGATTTGTACTTTGTGAATACAGGACACACTGATTTTTGTGGGTTTAAAAAATAGCAGTAAACTTTAGATTTGGATGGATTGTGCAACTTGTACTGCTACTTCCCTTATTAAAAGATAGAAGCTTCTAGATTGAATTAACAAAAGAAACTTGTTCTGCCCATGCAAAAATACTAGGAAAATGAAGATTTATGCTGGGTTGACAACAGTAGCAAGAAGCACCCAGACTGCACACCATGGACCCAGAGGAGCTGGGGAACTGTTCTGCGAGACAAGAATGCTCATTTATATCGATAAACCCTATTATTCCCCGAAGTAGATTTGACCACCCTGTCGCACTAAATATTTAGCATTGCATTGTTGTAAAGCAAAAGCTTTTAACTAATGCTATAAAGAATTTGAACAATGCAGCATGATTTTATAGCTAAAGGCAAAAATCCAAAGAATAATCCCTCTTTCTTGCCTTACTGAGGAGCTAACTCAGGCCTCCAGCTTTTTACAACTGAGCTACAGCCCCTGTTCCCTTTTTAAATTTTATTTTGAAACAGAGTCTTGATAGATTGGCCTGGCTGGCCTTGAATTTGTGATCTTCTTGCCTCAGCCTTCCAAGTAGATAGGACTATAAGCATGCTACTGTGGCCAGAAAAGAAATATTTTCTATGCAATGCCTTTGGAATATTAGTAGAATTATAATATAGTAGTAAGCCATAGAGAAAACTAATAAAATTGGAAAAGTTGAAATCACACCAGTTAGATTTTCTGTCTTAAAATCAGCAGAACGATACCACTGTTGAGTTAAACACAGAATCAAAATTGCAGTTATGGGCTTTTGAAATACATGACAGTGGGAGCCATTCCTGTCCAGCCCTGCAGAGTATGGACATTGTATCGTGCAGAGAGAAATGTATGCTGCATGTAATTTTAAAAGGCTGAAAATAAATGAGGTGACTGTAGTTTAGGAGGTCAGTAGAAAGAGTTACTAAATTGATAATGAAAAAATTCAAAAGAAGGGATAAGATAAATAAAACCAAATAGTTCTTAGAAAAAATAAATGAAATCAGTTAACTTTGGGCAAATTTGATCAAGGAAAAAAAAACATGAAAGAATATTTTAGGTTTTTAGATTTCTTATTTGGGTTTATTTCTTTTTGGTTTTGTAATGCTGGGAATTAAACCAAGGGTCTCACAAAGAGCAAGCTAGTGCTGTACCACTGAGCAGTCAGTATTAAGCCTACTATTAAGAATTTTAAATAATAACATTGAAAGGATATTTTTAAAATATAAGATTGTTATAAGAACTTTATTCTAATTAATTTGAACAATCTTCCAAATAATAGCTTGTATTCGTTGAAACTTGGAATAGGCCAGTCAGAGTTCATTGTGTTTTGCACATATCAAAACCTTCACAGTGGTTTCATTGAGCACACACTATTATTTTCCCCACTTCATAGATGTGGGAAGTAGAGTACATTGAGTTTAACTTACCAAATACTTGTAGCCAAGAAGTGGCCAGCAGGTAAATAGGCCCTTGTGACCCCAGGACATGTCTGTGACCAACTTTTCACTTGTTGCGGCAGAGCAAAGCAGCTCAGTGCTGTTTCCAAGTGTTACAGCTCAGTGTTGCAGCCCAGTGCCACAGCTCTGAGGCACAGCTGAGCTTTATAGCTCAGTGTCGCACAGCTCTGGGTCACAGATCTCATAATTTGAGCTCAAGAATCCAGCGGTCACTAGAAGAGGTGGAGGAAAAACCTTTATTACTCCTGCAAGCCCCCGGTAGGCTCAGAGGAATGAGTGCTCTACCAGAGAGCCTCCTTATACAGGGATCTACAGGGTAGGTGAAGCAAGGGGGAGTCACAGTTACAGAATATTCCTGAGAGGGGGCGGAGCTTAACAGAACATTCCTGAACGCTCATACAGTTAAAACAGTCACAAACCATTTTGATACAATGGGCAGGAGTGCTGCCCAGAGCACAAGCTGAGCAGTTATAGAACATTTCTGAGAGGGGCGGAGCTTAATAGAACATTCTTGTGAGGGGACAGAGCTTAACAGAACATTCCTGAAGGGTTGCAGAGTGCAAACAGCTATAAACCATTTTGATACTTTGGGCAGGAGCCCAGCAGCACAAACTTAGATTTCTAAAACAAAACATTCTGTGGAAGGAAAAGAAAAAAGAAATGGAGTCAAGGCAAGGGCGTGTCTTATTGTATAGAACTTCTTTATCAGGCTGACTCTCACACAGGTGGCTTTAAGGATAGTTTAATTGCCACAGTCTTCTTACTTTAAAAACGCAGATTAGACTAACTGCAAAAAAGTCAAAGTTCTGACAAAAGGCACATTCCCAAAAGGTCGTGCCATACCTTAAAGGAAAGGCACCTGGTATCACAGTGCAGAAAAAAAAAAGGAGGAAGGCTCCCAACTTAATTTTAAAGTTGTTGAGTATATAGTAGAGAACATTTTCTCCCAGGAATGTAAGGATAGTTCAACATTGGAAATGTATTAATATAATTCTTTGGGTTAAGAGCAAAGTATATCTATGGAGAAAAAATAAAGTCACCTAACAAAACTGAGCTTTGACTTTTTTTGTAAAAATGTTTACACTGGAAATAAAAGTTTGAGAATGACTATAATGAGCAGCAGAAACATAACAGTTTCAAAATGCAGCATTAGATTCCACTCAGGTGTGAGAAGGTGCCCACACTTGCTTCTTGGTACTGAAGGTTTTAGAAGTCTTACCAAGTGTGATTTTTTTTACAGATAAGAAAGGCAAAATACATGGGGCTTCGAGCTCCCCTAAGTTAAGAAAATCAGTTGTTATTCACAGATGTTGTGATTGAGAGAATGAAAAACTTTAAACCAAAAATGGTATCTGAACTCAAAGCATTGAAAGTGTGCATGGTTCTGAACAAATTTGAAGAGACCTTTCTATGAACCATGCCAGAGTAGAAGAAGGGTGAAGAGCTGATGGTGGAAACCACAGAAACAGGTATTGGCACCATGGAGACCAGAGCACACAGGAAGAGATCAGTGCAGATGGAAGCAAATGGCCTAGGTATCAGTCTGGGCTTATTGGTAACAATGGAGGGCTGTCTGTCTGTCTTTGTACATCTTTGCAGACAAGAACCATTTTTAAAACACTGAATCCCAAATGTACAAATACATACTTATATCTACATGCAGACTCATACATGTGTACAATTGTGCCTTTTAATTCATTTAGTGAAATGTTAAAAAAATTGTATTAAGAAGATAACAGTTGGTTTAAAACTTTAAAAAGTCAGTCTTTGGAATTAAATTCAAACTGTAGAACAAAATTAAGGTGGTTAATGGAATAAGTATACAGCTATCCATTATTTTTTTGATGACAGATGTTATGCCCTTGAGCCACAAAAAAAGCAAAAGGCAAAGATGATAAACTGTGTATTTTGAAGATAAAAATTTCTCTTTGACAAAAAGACTAGAAAAATTGAAACATGATACCCAAATAATGATATCTAGAATAAATTACTCTTAAAAAGAAACAGCAAAACAGCTTACTAGACAAATGAGCAAAGGAAAATAAGCAAATCATTAATGAAGAAAATAAAAAGTAGCTAGTAAACATTTCAGAATATCACTGACCAGAAATAATATCTTGTAACACAGTAACAAGAGACTGTTTTAATACTGAAGAGAACAGAAATTGTAAATATTATTTGTCAAGAAACAAATTGGAAACAATCTAAACATTTATCGCTTTATCACCACCTAGCTAAAGAAACTCAAAATCATACCATGGAATATGTGCAGTTGGTAAAAAGAGGTTGATCTCGTTGTATATTAGCACAGGTGAGAAGTCAGGCTAGAGAACTAAAAATGGTGTGTAGTATTTATTATAAATGCAAGATAATAACCATTTATGTTTGCTTCAAAAAATACACAAGTCATACTCAGTTTCATGAAGTACACATATGTAAATGCACAGAGTCCAGAACAGTAAACTCTCCCCATGCCTTTGGCCAAGGAATTCTAATATTTAATCTCTGTAAAAACAGTGTGGCACTTGTGTGATTTAAGTTGATTTTGAAATCTGTTCTGTGTTATAGATAACTAAATGGGAGGAGGCAGGATGAACAGCAAAAAATACCCTGAACTACTTACAAATAATAAAATGTACAAAATCTGAGTAATTGGAAAAAATATTCCACATTCTTATAAAGGAAGACAGTATTCAAAGTTGCTGCTTTGGAGATTAATAAATTGACAGTTAATGTCTTGTTATACCTTGAAGGGAAACTTCTTAAGTTTCAAGGTGCAAGAAGGTGAGGATTTTTGAAAAGGGGAATGAGTGATGTTTACAGCACCTTGTACAAAATGTAGCAGAAAGTTCTGATGATTAACATGGTGGTTATGGTGCAGAATAGGTGGACAATGAGCCGAGTCAAATTCTCAGTGCCAGCAGGTGCTTATATCAGTTTTTTGTGAATTCTAAGATACCTTTTTTCAAATTTTAGCATCTTTGACAATAAGATCCACTTTTCAAGTAGTATAAACTCATATACATGGTATTTTTCCATAGCATTTTCCTTTCACTTTGTGGTATTTTATAAATATATGATGGGGTACTGCTCTAGCTACTTTCTTGTTACTGAGACAGAATATGCATCAACCACAAATTAGAGGAAAGGTTTATTTGGCTCACAGCTTGTAGAGGTTTCTGTCCCTAGTCAGCTGGCTGTAGGGCAGGGTGGCATGGCAGAGGAGAGATGCTCAGGACATGGAGAACAGGAAACAGCGAGCCTTCCTTTTCTTTCTTATTCCATCCAGGTTACAAGCCTATCGATTGGTGCTGCCCACACCCAGGGTGGGTCTTCCCTCTTCAGTAAGTCCATCATCCACACCAACAACTCTGCTGAGCCAATTAGTAGACTAGACCACCAGTATCATACATGCATGATTCATATCCATGATCCATTCATCTCCCCAAAGGCTCACTTATGAGCATGTGAGGCTTTGGTGGGGGGAACATCTAGTTAATAAACCATTACAGGTACCTGAAAACCTGTGACACCTTAGTTTCGGTGAAATCAAGTATGTGTGTACATACCAAATGTGTGTATATACATCCATGTATACAGTATGTACATACTGAAGTCATATGTATTTGGACACGTGTATAACCCAGTCACGTGTGTGCACATACTCCCTTTTTAAGGCTTAATTCCAACATCTGCCCAAGCTTAACTTTATAGCTTTGTGTACAGTGGTTGTGCTTATCATTTTTGTTACTTCCTGACTGACTACTTTAGTGGTACAATCAAAATCCATGCTTAGTAAAGATACAGATACTGGAAAGTCTGTGGTATTTCATGAAGTCTGAAAACGATGTGGGACAAGTATTTAGATCATCCATAAGCCAGTGGCAAATAATATGATTTTATCTTTCAGTCTAAATGCTCAGTTAAGATTTTCTTCACTGTTTATGATGCCATTTATTTTAAGTGCATTCACATAAAGTGCCTGTGTCCTCCCAGGCTGGTTATCCTCAGAGAAGAAAGATGTTCTACATGTGATTCAGACCTGATCTCAGGATGAAAGCATATACTATTCAAAACACTGCAGAAGGACAGAGACCCTCTTACTGGACCAAATAATGGTTGGCTTTTTGCTTCATAAACATGAATTCCAGATAAATTAAATATCTGAACATGAAAATAAATAAGAATTCCCGAAGAAAATGGTTCAAGAGAAGCCAGAGCCTTTTAAAGCCTTCCTTCTTGGAAAGGACAAGGGTCGTTTCACAGAGCTGAGAGAACTGTGTTGCTCCAGTGACTTGCAGCCCTCCTGAGGTCCACAGTGAGGTGTCATGCAGAGGGCACTTAGCTTAGGGAAAAGGTGTCCCAGAGCCTCCTCACAGGGATCTGTTATGAAAAAGTGGTTGAGAAATACAGCCATGGAGAAAAAGCAACAGACCGATAGTGATGCATATTTTTAACTTCTCGATTTTGAAAAATGTCACAAGCAGAGTAAAAGGCAAGTGGCAGACTAGGGAAAAATAGTTTATAGCTCGTGAGGCTTGGGGTAGTGTACTTGTCTAAGTGTACAGGAGTTACTATAAATGGTTAACAGAGAAGCGACTCAACAGAACTGAGGGCAAAGGCGGTGGAGTTGGCGTCGCACCATTTCTCAGGTTGTTTGGTGGTTATTAGAAGGGAATGGCTGTTTGTATTTTAGAAGGAATTACAAGTAGTTCCTTTGTGAAGCCTTTTTCCTGTGGATGCTTTAAACCCTCAGAGGTGTATTGCCATAGCATTGAAACAAATGACACGGCATAGAAAGATAAATTCCGTAGTTTAATTTGTGAAATTAATGCTGGTTTCCTCTTCTCAGAGTGTACTGCATTGTTGACTGTCAGTTTCCTCTGAACAAGGGAGTACATTGTATATTGATAGCCATAGACAACTTTTTTTAGCTAACAAGGTAATTGGGGTATTTTATGTGTTTTTGTAGAGAGTGTCTCATGGTAAAATAATTAAATATAAACATTATTCTTTGTTAACAGGTATGAAATATTAAATATCCTAAACATTTATTTGCATTATAAATGTGCTAACTAAATATATGAATTCTAAATACTATTTTTTTTGTTATTTTAAATGTTAATCAGGGGCCAGGGATTTAGCTCAATGGTTCCAGTGCCTGCCTTGCAAGTGCAAGGACCTGAGTTCAATCACTGTTACCAAAAAAAAAAAAAAAATGTTAATCAGAATTATAAATGTGTCTCCTAACTGCAACTAAATATAGCTGTTCAGTCTATCTCTGTATATATTTTTATTTGTTTTTATCTGGCTTTTTCCTAGCAATCCAGTGGGGAAAAGATGGCCGTCCATTTCATTTTCTCTTCTATACTGGCAAGCAGTCATATTACTCATTAATGCATGTAAGTATATCACATTCATGAAAATAATATGACTCATGAGCTACAAAACTATTCAGCTTCAGAATTTACCTAGTATTTTATCCAGGACAAAAATGAGACTTACAGAGGTATGACAGTTTGTTGATGAAAAGCTTTATAGTTTATCTTTGCTGAAGTTACAGAATTTGTATCAGAATGGTTTATCCTTAAAGCTTGCACTTACAGGACTGAGGATATACAGCTATATGCAGAGGTAGAGCATCTGCCAACCATGTACAAGACACCAAGTTTGATTCCCAGTATCACCATCACCACCAAAAAAAAAATTGTTTTTCATTATAAATTGAAATGCTGCCCATTAGGAGAGAAATAACTCAGTGCAGTCCTCAGTGCATGGAGGGGCAGGCCAGGTTTGTAGTGCTGTCAGGACTGGGCACTGACCTTGACCTCTACTTTTCTTTATTCATATAAAATGTTTCATAGGTGATTGCAGTTAGGAGTTGAGAATGCAGGGCCAAAAAGAAACCTGGAAAATGATTTTAATGCACTTGGACTTCCAGCTGCTTTTGAGTGTACTGTGAACAGTTTTTGTTTTGTTTTGAGAGCTGTGTTTGATAGTGTGCAAATTGGGAAAGTTCCCCAGAATTGCTATGAAAAACAAGGCTGGATGCCAGTATCCAATTTTAAACAGCAGAACCCACTTTATTCTTAGAACATGATGTCAAGTTCTGATTTACCCATTCTTTGATTTTTTTTAAATCACAAATATTGCTGGGGCTTCCCCCATCCACTGTCAGATTTCAGTGGCTTGAGTCAGTGCACACATTTACTCTGCTTTTTAGACTTATCTGGTGTTTATTTGTGCTCTGCAGACCCAAAGGGCAAAATCCCCACTTGTCAGGTACATTTATTTCTTGGGGAAAAAAAAGAAAGCCTTCTTTTTGCTTTCTGTTGACCTTGGGCAAATGAGCTTCCTGCCCTGGCAGAAATGAAATGAATGATAAATGCAGAGCATGTCTTCGCTGAGTAATGGCACTGAGGCCAGCCTTGCCGTGCACTCCCTGCACAGCCCGAGGCTGCCTGAGGACCCCCGCTGTTCATTTAAATAGGTATGTCAAATCTGCCTCCACTGCTGCTGGTGTGATCTGTGGTAATATTTGTGAAGGTTCCATATGGACTTGAGCCCCCTGCAGTGCTAAGAAGTAATGTACAACGCTTCATGGTGCAGACGCAAATTTTCTCTGAAAAGGGATGCGGTGCTGCGCTTTAGCTGTCGGAGAGGATGATGGAGCTGACGCGCTAGGCCTGTCAACTTGTTACACGGATGGCTTGCACGCAGCGAGGTTGTGGAAAATCTGTGCCTTTTAACTTTTCTACTTAATCACGGTTGTAGCATTGCCTTTAGACTGTATGCTACATTAATTCTCTTCCTGCCTTCTGCCTTTCATCCCAGGTTTCACGGGGAAGAGTAAAGCAAGCCAAGGGCAAGATGTTTTGTTGCATTCTATCATAATGGAGAAATTGCACATTGTGTATGGGGCCTGACTTTATTTTCAGTTTGTTTTCTGTTTTAAAAGAAACTCATTGGATTCTCAGAAGATAAAATCTTACCATGCTCCTTGACTAAAGTGTCAAATTCTATCTGACTACATAATCCTTTTTTTTTTTTTTTGAGGTATGCAGGTTTTGTGACATACAGAGGAGTTCTCTGGGCACTTCTGTTTTAGTTCAGCTCCAGCATCCCCATCAGCAGATGTCGCTAATTCCAGCTGGGGTTGTGGTATCTCAGCTCCAGAGCACATGGTGGCTGCTGTCAGAGACGCTGTCACTCTGAAACAGGGCTGTGCCTTCATAGTCCAGCTACAGAAGCGCCTTTGTGGAGAAGTCAGACCCAGCGTGTGAAGGCCAGCTGTGAATGCTAGAGCTGTCTCACATGCCTTCTCCCCTTTGTTCTGCCTTCTGGGGCAAGGACACCCCTTCTCTCCTGAGAAATCAATGCATCCCACCATGCCACAGGAAGTTGCCCCTGAGCTCTCGCAGGCTTTCAAGGCCTGGGGTGGATCTTTGTCACCACATTTATTTTTGTTGACATGATTCGGTCTCTCTGTCAGGGTAGGGACACTGAGTTGCGCTGCTGTTCCACGCCGAGGACCAGCTGTAATAGTGTGAGGCACAGCGGGCAGGGCCAGGCTGTGACAGGCAGACGACCTCCAGCCTGTGCGCAGCTGTGTGAGGAGACCTCTCGGGCTCCATTAACCTCTCCTGTCTTAGTAATCGCACCAGGTCTTCTGAGGGTCTGCTGACTGTGTGTGTAAAGCCTGTGTGTTCCTTTGTAGTGGCAAACGAAAGATTGTCTTGATGCAGCTCACAATTCAGTGCAGTTTAGAATGCTTTTGGAGACACTGTTTCCCATTGACCAGCATTTAGTCCCTCCGTGTTTTACAGAGAACTGGGCAGGTTTTGGGGAAAGATGATGATGAGAAGAATTGTGAAGTTTGTCTTTTGCCACAGAGCTGAAGCACAAAAGAGAAAGTAGCCTGAAGGGAGGTTTGCGAGTGTCACACTCTCAGGTTCATTCATAGGCCAGGCAGGGTTCCTGTTTTCCTAATGGATCCCCGAGTCTGCAGATTCTCAGGAAAGTTGTAAAAACCCATTTACCTTTCAGTATCGCTAATAAGATAGATATAAGTAATAAAAACGAAGCAATACCAACATGATATCTTCAACAATAAGAAAGAATTTAAGAAGTAAGAGACTTCCTGAGCCTCTCGAAGCAGTGTTGCGTACCGTGCAGCGGTCTTCATGCTTAGCAGCACTGGCCAGACTGGCTTTTTCCTACTCAAAATAGTTGGTTTCCTGTTTCCGCAATAGCCACTTAAGCCAGTAGAACTTGTATACACTACAGACATGATTCAGGGCCTCAGCTTAAGTTTTAGGAGCAAAAAGAAGAGAAAGAGAAAAAAACAGAGTTTTTCAAAACAGTTGAGCAAAAGTGTAAGGGAAGGGGGGAACTTTAGAGAGGGGAGTGTGAGAAAGGGAGTGCTCCATGCAAGACTGCAATGGACCAGTGTGGGTCTGGACAGGGAAGACCAAGGATGAGGGCTGCCCCTTGGACCATGGCAGAGGTCCCCAGCAGCTTCAGTGGACTGTGCTCATTGGCAACACATTTTAGTTTCAGTAGTCATCATTCAATTTGTGACAGGTTCGTTATTTTAAGAAAAGTATTGGTTTAGGTTTATAAATTTTAACTAATATGTATGTTTTTGAAAAAAATTAGAATTCACTCACTAGAAATGAAAATGGTTAGCTTTCCATTTCTATAGAAAAATACCTGCAGGCACCAGCTTAGAAAGAGGGAATGTTTATTCTGACAGTTTTGGAGATTTCAGTCGTGGTTGGTTAGCCCCTTGCCTTTGGGACCAAGTCATAATGAAAGAAAGCTGTTGCTTTACCCATTGCTCTGAAAAGGAGAAGACCGTGGGTCTCTTTGTACCCAGGATGCCCTTGAATGTTGTGTCTAATCTGCTGGGAAAAGGCTGGCCAAAAAGGTAAAAATTCTCAACAAGTGCCCTGAGAGGCATGACTCAAAGGTGGGTCTTCTTGGACGTAGACCTGGTGTTAGGCCCAGTACAATGAGCATTTAAGAAGTTTATGTGAACTGGCCTCACTCTGGCCTTTGATATAAGGGAGGCGCACAACTGTAAAGACAGCCCTGGGAATCTTCACTTAGTGTAGAAGCTTCACTTAAATCTGAGGACGAATTTCACAGTAAAGCTTACACCAAAATGGTCTGTGAAATGAAGGACCAGGTAGTTCAGCGCATACCTACGCTCTTATGCTGAGTTGGGAAAAAAAGTTTAAAATACAAAAGAAAAACAAGAATTCTAGGCCTTCTAACTTCTGCATACACCGGGCACATTTGCCTTGTGAAAGAAGCTCCTGGCCTCTTGAGTCCCCAGCTCCATATCAGATGACAGAATTGTCCTGAGGTCACACAGCCTGAGACTGCTGACCCTGCACCCACAGGCTCAGTGAGGCCAGGTCCTGGGACAGAGGCCAGGAGATTTGGGCCTGATGCCAATGTTTCTAGGCCCTATCTGTGGCCACATAGTGAACATTTAAAACTTCTGGATGTAGTGCTGTTGTTACCTTTAAAAATGGAATTAATGGGCCAGGGATTTAGCTGAGTGGCTTCACCGCCTGTCTCGCAAGCACAAGGACCTGAGTTCGATCTCAGTACCAAAAAATTTTAAAAAATTAAAATAGTGACTCTTCTCACAGAGAGCCATTGTTAAGATAACTATTTTACAACCATCTAAAGTACTTATTTTTAAGAAGCCACGGACTGGTGCTAAAGTCTGTCTGCATGCTGTTTTAAGACTGCTTGACAGCAGGAGTTAATTCAGTAATTAAATCAGCAGTAGAAATTGCCATAATAGAGGTATCTTTAATGTCCATTTTCTTCATGTATAAATAATTACCATTACATATCTCGTATGCTCCTAGTCTTAACAGCTAGGAAACTTGATATTTTTAAAAATGGATCCAACTTACTGCATCTATGTTGATTTCAGTCAGATTACTTCTTTTGTAGTGGTACAGTTGCTATAGAATGTCTGACTATAATTTGAGGAGTTAAAGTGTGATATCTGTGCTGAGCACTTCGCTGTCCTCACTAGCTGTACACTCGCTTCTCCAACGTCCAGATGTGACCTCTAGTAAAATTTCCTTTATCTGTTGAGTGGCATCATGCAATGTGCAAACTGTACAAACTATCCTGTGCTGTGTTTGCAAAGGACAGTAGTGGTCTACAGTGGAACTGAGTTACCTGGAACTTAAAGTCCATAGCAAAGACGTCTTTGAATTACCTTTATATTTATTTCATTTGATTTTTGTGTATCTCAGTGGCCAAAAAAATCAGTTGTTATTTGAGAAATTTTTTTCTGTGATTTTTTTTTGACAAACGCAAATTATAAATTCCTGAGCTAACATGTAAGATGATAATTTGTATTAGTTTGTTACTGTTTACTTTGTTACTTTTCCTATGCCATTGCCTTCCATGAAATACCACTTGTTTATCCTTCTGAAAATTGGAATTTCCACAAATTAACACAAAATTGTATTAATTGGAATTAATACAACCACATCAGATTGTAGAAGGATACTAAAAATCCCATCGCTCATGCTCTTGGAAGGGTTTACTTTAAGCATTTCCTTTCTGCAACCTGAGCATCTGGTATTTTCAAATTAGGCACCTTCTAAATTTGACTCATACATTATGGAAATCTGATGGCATGAGGGGTGGAAAGGCTTGCTTTGATTTTATGAAATATTAATCATAGCTGTGATTAATGATTCAGCATTTCACATCTGGGTTATTCCTGTCATATTTGAAAATTACACTATTAAATATACTATATAAACTTAGTGTAGGTGGGGGTCACTCTAATTCTCTAGTGTCCCTTAAAAATTAAGCGGAAACTTAACAATATATCGGTGATAATCTGTGATGTCGACAGCACCTGGCATCTTTTATACCCTTAAGGATTTTTTGATGTAAATTAGAATGCCTCTCTTCAGGGAGTTGAAGCCGCAGAATCGACTTTCAGAGAACTGTTGTCTCTAACCATGGCCAGATCTCAAGAGCAGTTTTATTATGCAGTAGAGAGAGAATTCATAGAAATGGTACGAGGTATAATTTAGACCATTTGCCCCTTGGAAGCAGTGCTTCCCCCACCAGCATTCTTGGCCATTGCTGGGTCAGTCACTGTGATGTTTTTCACATGTTTTCGTATTTAAAGAAGCACGCAAAGCTGGCAGTGTAGTTCAGTAATAGAGCACATGCTTAGCATGCATGCAGCCCTACATTCATACCCCAGGATTCCTGCCCCCACAAAGAAAGTATATAGAGTGGTATCATCAACACTACGTGATAGGTTGGATTATAACCATCAAGTTGTAAGCATTTGTGTGAAAGGAATAGAATTTGCCACGTTTGACGTTTGGTAGGTACTTTTTATGGCTATTTTTCTCCTCTTTCACATATTTCACCCAAGTATTATACTTACACCATTTATATTATTGTAGATGAAATAGAACACTAGAAGGAAATGGCATAAGGAAAGAATATTCTAAGAAAAATAGGAACTTAAAGTGAACATTGTTCAAAAGTCATTGAAGTGTTATGATTAATTTACTCTAACTTTGACTTGAAACTTAACCTATGAAGAAAGTTGATTGTTAGTATTGTAGTCCCCTTGCTTTCTCCAGAAAAATTAAACCATTTCAAGCAGCAGAGTATCTTGTCACTGTTTTTGGTGTTCTAGGCTCATACATCCTTAGCTGTATCTGAAAGCTACCCCATTCTTGATCTTTGCACTCTCCACATCACAGGCCTTCGGATCAGGCAGCTGCAAGGATTAGGGAAGTAGCTCAGAGTAGTAGTGTGAGCTTAGCCAGTGTGAAGTCCCAGTTTCCATCCCAGCAGTGCACACACAGACAAGTGAGTTAAATCCTAACCACACTCGTCAAGGCTTTCCACTTTTTGGAAGATAAATTGTAAAATTTCAAGTTGAATAAGAGGTACATATTCTAGATGTAGATGGTTCATATGAAATTAGCTCTTGCATTGTTCAAAGTGAGAGTGGGTATTACTCTACTGCTATAGTGATGGATTTATGCCTGGGAAGTAGTTGTAGTGTGGTTACACTTCCTTCCAACAGGCACAAGGTTTCAACTGACTCATTTTGTCCCTTTTGTGACTCTGTAATTCTCAGGCTTCCCTGTGCATTGCTGGGAGGCTTGCTACATGCCTGTAGAGGTTCCTCTTCAACAGGTCTGGATGAGGCTGGATAATTTCCATTTCTAACCAGTTCTAGATTGGATGCTGCGGCCACTGGCCTGGGGGTCTCCACCTTTGGGATGAGCTGGTTGTGGGGAATTCACTTCCATCTGGTATGCACATGGCCTCTGTTACTCCAGCTCTCCCCTGTTTTGCAGCTTCTAAGTGTAGCGTTTTTTTCTTCTTTTGCATCTTTTCCTTTTCTTTCTAAGCTAGCAGTGGTACCACCCATAGGGAAAAATAAAACAAAGCTGTTCTGTGTCTCCTGGACAAAAGGAATGAACGATTCCATCCTGCCCTTTGAATATTATCTCAGCTTTCCTCACCTGTGTTTATGTTACACGAACTCAGGGGCTTAGTCCTCACTTTTTTGCATTTCTCCCAAGGGGAGAACTAGATTTCCAAAAAGAGATAAAATATTAGTAAAATACAAACCCTAATAATAGCACAAGAACAGTACAAGTAACATGGTAGCAGCCCCCAGGAAGCTGCCTCCCCACTTGAAATTATTGACTTTTTGAGGTATATAGATTGCATCTCTATCAGTAACAGATTGTGTCATCTGACATAGGTAATGATATCGGAAGCTGTCATGATTAGCAAAAAGACACAGTCATTTTTTTCATCTCCAGCTCCTATCCTCCCTCCCCTGTGCTGAGGAAAACCGGGGCTGTGCCCATGCTGGGCAAGCACTCTGCCACAGAGCAGACTCAGGCAGCTTGTCCTATGAAACGCCTGGCTCGTTGGATTCCAGTGTGCAGGGTTATATGTAAAATATAAATAAATATGTACAATGTCATTGGAGATGAGTCCTCAAAAGATGAAGTTGCTTCAGTCCACACTGTTAGAAGGTCATTGCATTATTCTGCTTCTTATAAATTCATTGCCTAGAAATATATTTAATAGATAAAACTTATTGCTGGATTATTTTCTACAAATTTAACACAATGACTCTTCCCATTGCAATTTAAAAATTGACCCACATTCACAGTCTTTATTAAAAGTCAATTAATAGAAATAAAATAATGAGGGCCGGGCATTTAGCTCAGCGGTTCGGTGGCCTGCCTCGCAAGTGCAAGGACCCAGAGTTCGATCCCCAGTACCAAAAAATTAAAAAATAAAAAATAAATAAAATAATGAGAAGTAAATACAGTGGAAAATTTCTAAGCTACAAATACATGTGGCACAGTCTTAAATATTATGTAAAATTAAGTGTTAGGTATTTCAGCTATAAGTCTAGTAGATAGCTTTCTAAGTTTAAAGTACATATTGGTGTCTAAATTGTGATTTCAGGCAGATTTCTATCCTGTTTGCGAAACTCAAGGAAAATAAATAGTTTATAAAACATTTCTGTTGTTTTAACTATCCTCACTGGAATGGAGATGTAAAGTTTTTACAGAGTTGTGTGTAAATCAGGGAAAGTAAGTATGCTGTGATGTATGATACTACATCATACATCACAGGAGGAGGAGTCCTCCTCACAGGGAAGAAGCGTAAATACATCATCAGTGTGATGTGCCTTCTTTTACTATAGCATTTGTATTCTGTTCACATAGGACCTATATGGAAAGATTCTCCAGGTCGAAAATCGTCAAAATCAGTTGCGACCCAAAAATCAACTGCCAGAAACTATCCAAGTCATGTAAGTTCTGATCTCGCATTAGAATATACATGAACTTTTAACCAAAACATGCCACTTACTGGCATACCTGAAGCCTATTTCATCATTAATCCTTAAAATGTAGGGTTCCAAATAATACGCAGTTTTTGTTTAGGAGGAAGCAAATACTGAGGCTGTTTTTCATTTCACATATATTAAGTAATACTTAATTTACTGTATCTGGATTTGATGTCCATAGCTGCACAGGAATTTAGCAATGTGTACTTGGAGAGGAGGAGTTCAAGACTCGTGCTATCATTTGGCAGGCTCTGATCGGGCAGATCCATCAGCCTGTGGGCCTACCTATTCATGTATACCTGCCTTCCTTTTCTTTCTTTTTCTCTGTTTCTTTCTTCCTTATCTTTTTCTTTTTTTAAACAAATCTCTAAGCACACTGTGTTGAGGTTGTGAATATATTCCTGGTCTTTCATTCAAATTTTATTAGTTCTTCAGCCCACTCACAGGTTACTTTGTGTCAATACATGTTCAAAGCCAATTCTTGAGGCACAGGAAATCTGGTAGCTTTTAAATGAGTCCATCCATACTGGCATATTTGCTTGTTCAAAACATTTACTAGAGTCGGTGTCTTTTCTAAAGTAGATTGAGGAAATAGAGTAATACTTCTCAAAAATGGTTTATTTGGATGTAAATATTTTAAATGAAATTTTGTTTTCAAATCATGACTTGCTACTGTATGTAGGATCTTTTGTGATATTACTCTAATTGCATGGTTAATTAAAAAGAGAATATATGTGATATTTTAACAGAGACCTGATTGGCAGCAGATGGCTGATTAAGGAGGAACTAGAAGAAATGTTAGTGGAAAAACTGTCAGATCAAGATGTGAGTAATTAATCTTTTTAATTTAAGGGGACCTGTGCCATAAGAATGCAGACAATTGCTGTATTAAGGATCCTAATAGGAACGTTCCTCAGAGGCAGGTGTTCCTGCAATGGTGCTCCTTTTCTTAACACATTCCTTGTTGATTTCTGCAGTGGAGGAGTGCGGTGTGTGTGGTCAAAGTGCCATATCTGGTCTCCAGGTCCACCTGTTAAGCTGTTTTTAAGGAGCAGGCGGGGGCTATCTTTGTCTTCAGGTACACGATGAGTGCAGCTTAGGAGGTGGATGCAGTACGCCCTGCTCTGTGGCTCCTGCCCTCCCTCATGTACCATGTCTGTGAGGTCAGGGGTTTTCACCGGAGAGCTGTGGCCACCAAGTCAGAGTCACTGGGAACGCTCCTTACACCTGCCATGCCCCAGGTCCCTCAAACTATGCAGAGCCCTAGGGGTCACCCAGAGTCCGCCTTCCTAACCAACTTGCTAGGTGTCTTTCCCCTTACATAGTTCATGATCCACCCTCCAGATGCTTTCTGCCTTAATTGCAGTCTTATTTTGTTAGATGTGCTAATAGAGCTCATCATCACAGAGGAAGTATGATGTTTTAAATATTATGATGTTCTAAATGTGCATGACTTTCTGGAAGGTTTGAACAGAGGTAAATTTCACAAATCATCCTAAGAAGGCTTTTTTCTTCTGCGGTGGTGGCTAACCCTGCCCCTGCCTTACCACATGTAGATCTTAAGTCCTATACTTCAGTTACTCTTTTTCTCCTTTAAAATATTGGGGAAATTAATGATTTGGAAAAGTTGTAATTTGCTTAAACAAGATGTCAGACATTTGGTTAGTATTGGATCCAGAGTGAATTTCTAATGGCCTTGCTGCCGAGTGTTCTGCCCTCAAATTAAGTGAAGAAGTCTTTCAGCTTCTTCATTGAATGTGTCATTCCATTGTTTTCTCTGCTGTCTGGCTGCTTTGATTTTTATAATTCAGGGCTGTCCCAAGGACTTAATGCAGGTATGCACCTATGAAATGAACAAATGATATTATGACAACCTTCTACTTTTGGAATACTGGATATTAGAAAAAAACACTGACATTCGTGGATAATATCAAGATGAGGGGGTTCAGAGTGTGCAAGGACTTTTAAATCTTAAGCCCAGTTCACCAGCGAGGTTGTATGGTACCTGGAGTGACATTTGAAGCTTAAACAGCAGTCACAGAGAGTGTGTGAGGTGCACCTGCACCTGAGGCTGAGAACAAAGGCCTCTTGCCCAGCCTGGAGGGGAGAACTAAGCTTTGTGGAGGACCCGAAGTAGTGCGTGTCTTAGCCTTGGAAAATCACCCTCTCGTGTTACTGCATCACAGGAAGCTCCATTTGAAGCAGTTCTTTTAATATTAATCTTACTGATGAGATTCTTCACCATTTCAAAGTATTATTGGCAGGTTTTTATGATAAAGGCAAATGGTAACAGTTGAGTGTGATTTTTAGGTTGGCAAAAAACAAAAAAGGTTATCAAAAACTGGGTTTCATAATCCATATTAACTAAGAATCTCAAGTGTTAGTTGTTTCCTTCTCCATAAACACTTTAAAATGATTATTCTGGCTTCTAATTTTAAGGGGTTAATACCAAGTTGTTTACTTTCTAATCACATGTTCAAGAACTATTAAAAAAAATGCACAGAGTAGTGAGGATAATTTATTTCAAGAGGTTGCCCTTTAAGTCAAGTATCTCTTGAATTTTTAAATAGCTTGATTGTTCGGTTTTAAAGGAAATCATAAACATTAAAGTAACACAGCTTGAACAGCCAAAAATATATTTGCCAAATATATTATGAAATATAATTTAAGAGGTACATTTTCTCAAAATCAGACTCTTTACATTTTACTCTACATAACTTACTGCAAATTATTTCTAATGCTCCTTTTGATACAGTTCTAATAAAAAGTAGAGATTATGCTTGAAGATTAAATATTTTTTTGAAAATAAATTTAAATTTCAGCTTCATAATCATAATACAGAGAAACTTGACTTTTTTTGAGTGATAAATCTCTTTGTTTCTCAGAAGAAAAGATTGAGCCCTTTAGACCCACAGGGAAGAGATGCATGTGCATGCAGTTTTAAAAGCAGCGTGAAGATGCAGGAGTGTCATCCTGTCAAAATTCATCAAGAGAAGAAATGCTGGAAAGATCAAGTCTATAAAAATAGAAAAAACTTAGCAAATGCAATTACACTTGCATCTCCTAATGAATTCTTATTGTCTGCAGTACACACAGTTCATCCGGCTGCTGGAAAAGTTGTTGGCAATGCCCTGCAGTCCTTCCGAGAAGGAGTTTGTGCAGAGGTTTCGCAGAACTGTAGCCAGTCAGTCCAAAAAGCACCAGATCCAGCCGGTGCAGTACGATGAGCAGGGCATGCCCTTCAGCACTGGCGAAGGTAATGGCCGAGGAAGCTCTTCAGTCTCATTTGATCTTGCTCCCAGCCCCCAGTTGACTTTTTGGTTTTGGTTTTGTTTTGTTTTGCTGGTGCTACTTTGGATTTCCTAATTTTAAGATTCTCTTAAAGTTTTTAAAAACTGAACCTTCCAACGTCACAAGGGAAAAATGGGGTACATACCTGCACAACGTAATACTTTGCACTTTCACATTGTCAGTGAGTAGACTCGGAATGGATAAAATATTTACAACAAGGCTTAGCCCCCAAAACTGAAAATCTCAGTGCATCTGAATGTCAGTCATGAACTGAAATTTGTGAGAACGTGAGACCCCAGCTTACCCTCCCTATGTCTGCACACACTCCAGCCATGGCTGCTCTTTCAGAGTCAGACTGTAGGTGCTCTGTCGGCAACTGTGGCAAGTTTTCCTTCATCATTGTCAAAGATGGTTCCTTTCATTTATCCCAATCATATCTCCTTACACACTGTTCACATAATTTGAACATTTATTAGATATATTCTTATTGTTTATGAAGCAACATTATATACATTGCTTTTTCTTTCTTCTTTTTTTGTAGTACTAGAGATTGCACCCAGCTCTTTTTAATTTTTTTGAAGACAAGAGTCTCACTAGGTTGCCTAGGCTGGGATCAATTCGCAATCCTCCTGCCTTAACCTCCCAGAGGACTGGGATTATAGACCTGCACCTCTATGCCCGGGGGAGGGGGACTGTTTTTGTTTTTGTTTTTTGTTTTTTAGGAAGGTAAATGAATATGAATGACTATGTAGGCCATTAAAACATTTAAAAATCATTGCAGTGTTCCTAAAATGGAATTAAAGAACAAAATAACCCCACAATAAGCTTTATTATGTCAATCATGGTGTGGCTTATATTTTTACCTAACCTGTATTCTAGAAGCCTCCTAAATACGGTGTTGTCTGTTGTTATCCTGGGAAAATTAATTTTAACAAAATTCTACCTGTATTTAAGATTTTTACTAATAGAAATTTAAAACTTAAAGGTAGAAGAAAGACTGCAAGAGCAGAAGCAGTTGTTTCTGGACAGGGAACTGGAAGAATCCAAGTGAACGGCGTAGATTACCTGCTGTATTTCCCAGTCATGCAGGACAGGTGGGTGCTGCTTAGGTCTCTGTTTCCTGAATGTCTGTTCCATGATGCACCTTGGTCAGTTGAGGAGGCTGTGCTTCTCCAGCCCGCTTGTCTGAATAATGCTGCTCTCCACTAATGGAGCAAGTGAGCTATCAGAAGCTGTTGCTTTTTGTGGTTTTTTTCCAGAATTTTTAAGAAGCGTCTCTGGAAATTCTCGTTAATTGCCTCTTCCTCCTCTTTCCGTCAGATCAATCATACTGGTATTTGAAAATTGTTAGCTATATCATAGGTTCTGAAATGCAGTCTATGTCAGAATGTAGGAGGCAAACTTCTGCACTACATAGTTAGTGGCTGCCAAGCCCACCTAGGCTCTACTGCCCCCTCAGGTGACAGAGTTAGGAAGGGGCGCACAGACCTTGCAGCTTACATTCGTGTTCCTCGTGAGCATTAAGAAACATCTGCATCATTTGGGATTCTCCTGTTCAGAGGAGGTGGATTGTGTGTTTGTGGAGCAAGCAGAGAAACCTGGCCTTTAGAGGTGAAAGTAAGGGCTCACCAGCTTTGCTTAATTCCCAGTGCTAGCTAGAGGACATTTATGTTTTGTAAACTGTATCCCATGAAGAAACAGACAGTATAAATAGGTGTTAGAGTTTGTCCACTCCCCAAAATGTGCTTGACTTAGAGCTCTCTGTGAGTTACTGTATAGAAGGCCCTTCCTGAGACAGTTACCAGGGTGCCAGGAGTCACTGTCCTTATCCGTAAGGAATAGCAACTCCATGTTAGTTCCTCCCTTCCCAGTCCTTCTGTTTCCTAGGTGGCTTGTGATGTTTAAGGTAAAAGGGTTGAGGCTCTTCTGATTCCCATACTCTTGGACAGTATGGATTCCCATACTCCTTAAAGAGGACCTTTAAGTGTAGAGTAGGCTGCTGGGCAGAATACTCAGTTCAGGAAATGCACACTTACTGTACTTCCATGTGTGCCTGTGTCGAGGAGCCTACTCTTAACTTGTGTGTATATGTATTAAACTAACTGCCCTGATGCTCACAGGGGAGGGCAGAGAGGAAGTTCTTTTAGGTAAAGCCCCAGAGAGACCTTGCCCCTGGGGTTGTTCGCCTCAGCACAGGGACATCTGACCGGTGCTCTGTCTGGTAGTTTGTACTCAGAACTCCCAGTGAATGGACAGCAGGTCCCAACTCTGGCTGGATCTTATGCTTAGGTTGTGTTCATTATTCAGTTTGCACTCCACAAGCATTTACTCAGGATCGTCCCTGTGCCCAGTCTCATTCTGGGTTGTGAAGAAGTTAGCCCTTTTGCAGATGTGGTTTTCGTCACCAGGAGCAGTGGTTAGGATGCTGGCACTGATCATGAGTGGCACATGCAGGCCCTCTCACGTGGTGGGAATGGTCATGGGGAGCCAAGCATGTGCTTAGGAAGTCAGCACCACTGTGACCTCCGCCCAACAGGAAGATTCGAGCCAAGGACCCAGCATCTCGATCCTAGTTCTCTTTCTTAGTTGTGTGATCTTGGCCAGATGCCTCAAGGTCACTGGCTGAGAGGAGGAAACTGAACTTGATCCCTGAGATGCTTGCCTCCACATCCTGAGCCATTTCTCTCTCCTGAGTCCTTTTTTTAGAGGCCATTTGAACACAGACAGCAAAGAAGTCACTAGAGATGTTGGCCGCCTGGCTTCCCAGGATCATAAAAACTTGATTCATTCATTCATTCATGTTTATAGTGAATGTGTGTTACTGCAGACTCAGATTGCCATGTGCCTGTGCCTGTGACTGTGGGGTGAAGATTGGCAGCTTTTCTGGGAAGGCCTTTGCTCCGTGAGGCAGCCGGCTGGGAAAGCAGCTCTGAAGCGATCATCTGTACAAAGGAAGCGCATTTCCCACCCAGTGCCAAGCATGTAATCATAGAGGAGATAAGTTAGCATGCTGAGCAAGTACAGAAAAAAGAGAGTGTATCTTGTGCTAGAGAAGTACATCCAGAGAAGATAAAATCAAGGAAGTCTTTCTTTGTCTTACTTCTCTTTAAAAGGCTGGTTCATTTAACAGAGAGCAAAGTTCATGTGACCCTTCTTCCCAGGATCTCATCGGAGTCTCTGAGAGGAGAGAGGATGGACCTTGAAGTGTTCTCATTGCGGGCAGCTCTTTGCATGGACTGGTTGTTAGTTGGTGTAGTCACAAGCGGTCGTGATGTAACTATCCGTTGCAGCTGTACCTGCTTTGGAGTTTTTGCTCATCTGTTTCCATTTAGCATAGTACCACAGTGTTCTGCCAGTGTCCTCCTGCCCAGACTTCTTTAAGGTTCTTTCTTGCCTGGACCATTCGGGTTCCAATATGCTGATGTGTCTTTAGGAGGAACCTTTAGAAATCCATTTTTTTCCCTGAATTTTAGTCCCTTTCCTTTTAATACAGGTGTCTATTAGGGCATCTTAAACATTTTAGTAATGGAGACAGATGGATGTCTAAGCTTCCACAACAGCTCTCCAGAGACCTGTTCTGTCCAAGCCTGCCTGCTGTGGTTGTTGCAGTGACCTCCGTGTGTGTGTGTGTGACAGTCCCATAGATCCTGCCTTCGCTTCTATCTCCTCTCTGAGAGGGGGCAGTGGTGGAATTAGATTATCAGCCTCTGCATTTTGTTTTTATTTTGGTACCGGGGATCGAACTCGGGGCCTTTGCTTGCGAGTCAGGTGGCGGAACCACTGAGCGAAATCCCCCACCCTTCTCTACGTTTTGTTCACTTGTAATAACGGCTGTTACTTGTAACAGTATCACTGTTCCAATGTGGCTAGTTTTGATCTGGTCATTTTGAAGCTTTCCTCAAAGGGACAGCATGGATTTGTGGGTCTTGCTGTTGTAGGGCCATCTGCTACAGAATTGTTGTGAGTGCAGTTTGCTCTGTCCTAGAAGCGGCTTGTTCAGCCCATCTGCCTAGGGTCAGTTTGCTCTTAGGGTACACAGAGTAGCACTTGAACGTCCTACTCTGTCTCAGCCTAACTGTTATAGTAAGCCTTGTTTCGGGTCTAAATGCTCTAGTGTTGGACAGAGAGGCAGATGCAGTATAAATGGGCTTTTCTAAGTAAAACTTCAGCAGAGATAGTAAGGCAAAGAAGCAAAGTCCTTGACAAAGAAGATGGTGAGCATCATAATTTGCACAGAATGGTGTTCAACAAGTACCACACCACTGCGAGAGTGAGGGCCCAGCACATGCTCTGACCCTCTGGCCTGTCCCAACCACACGGGGCCCAGGCAGGTGGCAGGACCCCTCTTTAGATGGCTGGACTAGGGATGGGCATGGGTGAGAGCAAGAGTTAAATGTACTTCAACTTTTAAAACTATCCATACCGAGGTGATCGTTACGAGTTATGCAGCTGCGTCATGGCCAGTCCAGGCGACACTCGATGATTACTTGAGTGGACCTATTAATTTTATACCTGATCATGGAATTCAGAGAGGGTAGCCAGGTGTTAGTGGAGTCTTGACTTCAGGCTTCTCTGTGAGGTTGTTCAGTACCTTGCACAGTTCTCGTGAGATCAAGGGAATTGCAGAAAAAGAGTTCATCACGTTGGCCCCATTGCTGAGCTCAGGAGACTACATGTGGTGGTCCTTGATAGAGCAGCACAGAGGTCCCAGCGTTGGGAGGTGTCACAGAGCGCAGTGCTGGCCCACATTGGTTGGCACAGTGTCCGTGACACTGACACGTATTCTCCAGTGCCTGCATCTGGGTAGCACACGTAACCATGTTTGTTGTCGTTGCTCCAGGGAGCAGCTGATGTTCCCTTTCATCTTCCTTGACCGGCTTGGGAAGCACGACGTGACCTGCACTGTGTCTGGGGGCGGGAGGTCTGCGCAGGCAGGAGCCATCCGCTTGGCCATGGCCAGAGCCCTTTGCAGCTTCATCAGGGAGGACGAGGTCGAGTGGATGAGGCAAGGTACGTGCCAGGGGGACACTCTTAGGCCTGGAACAGTGAGAGGATCCAGGGAACCTGTGCTATGTGGCTTGCAGGCTACGCCTTCTGAGCTCTGTGGCCCTAGCGGTGATTTTTAGGCTTGAATGATGCAGAGTGAACGTGAACTAGAATAAGAAAACACAGGCACTCTAGCAATGAGGGTGGAGCCCTGCTATGGCATCCAGTTCAAGGGCCCGGGCAAGATTGTTTTGGCCTTGGTCTGATTTAACAAGCACTTAGTTGCATTTGAGAAAAACTGATTTGGTTTTGTCTTACCATAGAAATTTGCCATATTGCCCACAGATAAAGCACTTCAGGATTTTCCCAAAAGTATTGGAGATTTTTCATTTTCTCCACAGTGATGTTTGTTTGGGATCTTTTCCTTTCTCCATTCCTGTGCCCTGTCACATGGGTACGAATACACAAGTTCCTGCACAGGGTGAACAGTAGCATGTCAGCACACGTGCTAGACCATGGAGGCTCAAGCTACAGATGGGGAAGGAGGAAAGCAGAACGTGCTATGCGTGCTGCAGATCAGGCAGCCAGGTCCGAGCTCCGAGCTCCTCTCAAGCCTCAGAGGATGGTCCCTGTCCCTGGTTCAACTGCTAGCTTTCAGTAGAAACACTGCCCATGGCTTAGGTTACTTAACTTTTTAAGCCCCTTAAAAATCTATTTGCTTATCAACAGTTTGCCATTCTATAAGATTCTTTATATGCTTTTTAAAATACAATTTAATAGGACATGACTGAGCTATTTTACTCATGTGAGCTGCTGTGCGTATCTGAAAGTCATAAACATTATTAGTTAAATTTAAACAAAAATTTGGGTCTTACCTGTGTTTTCCCCAAAATACTATTGTTTTAGTTCATGAATGCCTTTTAAGTACAAATAAATGCAAAGGCTTTTTGGATAAACAGTAAGAGTTGTCAGCTTCCTTTGCTGTCTGGCTGCTGAGAGACCCCTAAGAGAATACCTGTACCATGTCCCCGCTGAGGAGAGCACTGGTGTTGGCAGCGGGAGTGGACTGGCAAAAGCTGTGGCCGGGCCTCCATAATGGTGCAAGCCATTCCAGAGCATCCCCACCAGTGCTGGTCTCACATCCGGGGCTCCATCCCCTACCATGGCACTGGCATGGGGATGGTGCACTACACACAGCCCAGTGATCAGTGGGATGCTGAGTTGAGTGTCTTCCAACTTACCCTGGCTGCTTTCTTCTAGAATAAACCACTTATGCTGAGAATACAACTCTGCAACTGAAACAATTCCAGGAAAGGCCATTTTAACACCACACACAGGGTCGTGTCTAAATGTGTGCATGCAGACCATGGCCTGTGGTGTCTGTGCATGCCCTGCCTCGACACACAGACGCCTGTCCTTGCCTCTTGCTCCCCTGAGCACCTCCCTCTGTGCTGACTGAATCCCCACAGGCTGAGAAAAGCAGGCCCAACTGTCATCACTGGTGTTTGAGAAATTGGAAATACATCTCAAAGGATCGAAAGCAGACCCCCATGTCATGAGACTTTGGGGCCTGGCAGCTTCCTCACTGTCCTCTGGCAGCAGCTCGCATGCTTTGGCTCAGGGATCCTCTGTCCACATCTCACGCTCATTTCTCTCTGCCCAGCTGGCTTGCTCACCCCCGACCCACGAGTGCGAGAGCGGAAGAAGCCGGGCCAGGAGGGCGCCCGCAGGAAATTCACCTGGAAGAAGCGCTGAGCCTGTCCTGCCTTCTGCCGTTGAGTCTACACCACAGGCCAGTGCCAGCAGCGCCATCATGTTCAGAGTTGTGAGTGGATGTATTTTTTAATGCAACTTTGTAAAAGTTACCATTAAAAATTTAAAAAGAAAAATGTCTTCACTCTGCTACTTTATATTTAAACATTTTCAAAAAGTAGTTGTAGAAGTGGAATTCATAAAATCTCGGCATATTAGGTGTGAAAGAAGCATTGGGCAAAGCCTCATGGCAGGACCATCTTCTTCAGAGAAGGCCCGGTTTCCAAGGCTGTGCAGCCCATCAGAGCCTGGCACTGCCACCTGATGCCGCCCTGGCCATAACTCCTGTGTCCCCATCTGGATTTCCACCCGAGTGGTGACCATGTGCTTCTGCCATCACCTGAAAGTGGAGGTCAGGAGAGCCACAGCAGCCCAGCAGAGCTTCAGAGTAGCAGGCAGGGCCAATGTGCATCCCCACTCACGTGCTGTGACAGCTGAGAGAGAGGTCAGGCCCACAGGGTCTTTACTGTGCCCAAGTGCGGGCGCTTGATGTCCACCATGGAGTGGTTTTGGGGGCACTCAGTGAATGTGCCCATCATCTCGGGCACTTCCTGCGTGTGTGGGAAGAGCTCTCGGCCTCAAGTCCTGAGCTGTGCATCTATACAGCCAACCTGTAACAGGAGATGGGTGATGGTGACAGGGCCCATTCTGCATCACCCAGCGTATCCAAGCAGCTCTCTAGACATGTCTATGGCAGCTTCTGCTCAGTCGCATTGGTCTAGCTTGTCTGTTGGTGCGTGTGACCTGCCACTTCCAGGAGAGGAGGGACAAGTGGCTCTTGTGTGTGTGTGTCCACAGAGGCCTTGTGAGTGGCCTGTGGTTCCCTCAGCACCTGCCCAGCACTCACTGAGCTCTTGCGGAACTGCTGTGCGGGCATGGACAGCACTGGCCTCCCTGTGCCATCCAGTCCTCATTTGCGACCTCCAGCCTCAGGAGGTGGGTGCTTGGTCAGTCAGGGAAACCCAGTATGCCATTAGGGTACAGCCAGGAGGACTGAAGATGGGCCTTGCAGGACAGACATCTTGAGAGGCCCTAGTGACCAAGAGAAGGAAGGCAAGGTTGGGAGCAGCCAGAGAGGAAGAGTTTGGCATAGACTTGAGACTGGCGCAGATCTGTGCAGGGACTGCAGTGGTGTGGAGATGTCAGGCCACTGCCAATTGGGACAGTGAAAGTTGATTGAAGCAGTCATTTGGACTGTTAGCAACAGCACCTCCTGCCATTTTTTACAAATGCAAAGTAGAATGGGCTGGGAATTTAGCTAAGTGGTGCTGCTGCCTGACTCTCAAGTGCAAGGTCCTAAGTTGGATTCCCCAGTACCACCCCCAAAAAATCTTTTTTTTTTCTTTTTATTGAATTTATTGGTACAATCTAGGTATAAAATACAGTTACATTCATTATTGGGATTCTGTACCTTTACATGATAGGTCTTGATTCTCATTTTTTCCCCTTGTCCCTGCCCTTCCTTCACCCCCTCCTCCCCTTCCCATTTACAAACACTTTATTTCCATTTTTTGTTTCTCATATTTTTTTCCTCTCCCTTATTACCTTTCCCGCACCCTTCCCACTTTCCCTACACCTTTAGCCCTTTACTTCCTATTTCACATTATTAATTATCTCATTAGGATCCTATGTACTATTATAGTTTTTCACAGCAGAGAAACTATTCGGTATTTCAGTTAAAGAAATCACTGTATGAACATTAAAAATAGGGAATCCTAAAATAAAACTAAAAAGGAAAGTAAAAGAGAAAAGGCAGTGATGTAAGATTAAAATAATCCTTAATTCTGAAGATGAAAATGGTCCCTTAACATATTTAAATTGCTTCTGCTCTTGTAGTCTTATTCTTTTCTTCATTATTTAGAGAATACTTTATTAGTTTCTGTAATCAAACCCACATAGATATGACCTTATGTATTTAGTACAGTGCGTTACCCCTATACAAATGGAAAAAAAATAAAATAAAAATTAAAAAATTAACATTTCTCGACCAATATGGCTGTCCATTTCTGTACAATGCCAACTCAACACAGTAAATTGGATAACTTCTTCCAAAGTTGACAACACCGTTAAAGTTTCCCAAAATTCAATTTATATATATATATATTTATATTTATATAAAAAGACTAATAATAGCAGTATTTTATGCATCAATAGCAGCAACAGCTTTTCCAGGTTCTGCAGTCATTTGAGCAAAATTATAGACATTCAGCACATTCCATTAAAAAAAAAGAAAAGAAAGAAAAG